TAATAGTTATCGTCCTTGTTATAGTAATAGTAATAGTAGTAGTAGTCGTCGTCGACGTAGTAGTAGTCGTAGTAGTAGTCGTCATCGCCGTAGTAGTAGTAGTCGTAGTCGTAGTCGTAGTCGTAGTAGTAGTAATAGTAGTAGTAGTAGTAGTAGTAGTAGTAGCAGCATAGTAGTAGTAGCAGAAGAAGAAGTAGTAGTAGTCAGTAGTAGTAGTAGTAGTAGTAGTAGTAGTAGCAGCAGCAGCAGCGGCAGCAGTAGTAGTAAGCGGCCATTGAGCCACTTGGAGCAAATACCGGTGTGTTTCAGGCATGTTTCAAGATGTTACGGGTATACTACGGAAACCCTTTGCCGCGTTGCGCCAATCTAGAAGTTCGCTCGCTGCTGGCTCCGTCCGATGTTTCAGTTGTATGTTTCGGGGTATGTTTCGAGGTATGTTTCGGGGTATGTTTCGGGGTACGTTTCGCTCCAAGCCAACACTGCTCCAAGACTACAAATGGAACCCCCAAAAAAACTAACAGACCCGACATCTGCCTGGTGGAGTGAGTGGAACTTCAAAGTCCTCTTCGGACGATGAACACAGGTTTCAGTCTTCTCTACTCCGGACCGCGCGGCCAGGCTGGAGCAATCGCCCAAGCACGCTCGCGGATTTGGCTTCAGACCCGGCCGAGGGGCGTTGCATAATCGCCCTTTGTTGTGAGTGTATAAGGCTCAGATTCTGAGTTTGAGGCCGAGAAACCGCCCCTGACCCAAGCTGTGCTAAAGCCTGCTTGGATTGCACACCAGCTGCCAGATGGTTGCCACGATTCAGCGACTTTCGAACCTTCCCGTCAGTTTATAAGCAGGTGATTGGCCTCGGGGCTATACGGCTATGCGGATATACGATGCTGCTACACAGAACTTATATTGCACTTTTCAAACCTGCCTACTCCATCCTCGCTCAGTCACACAACTAACTAATGGCTGTGAAAACACAGGTGGTCACAATCGAGGCCGGAGGAGGTCCGTCCGCAAGCCGGCCATGGTAGCCACGAAGCCCTCAGAAGAGCTGGCAATCCACGTCTTGCTGCGTGCACACCTTTGCGTCCTCGTCCCGATATCCATAAAACTCGGCTATGCGTTGCTGGTCCTGCAGCAACAAAACGATCGCGAGCATTGATGGACGGACCTGTGGTGTTGCACTGGCACGGAGAAATGTCGCTCAACTGCTGCAAAACTGGATCTGCTGACGAACAGTGAAACGCCTTCAAAGCCTGGCACCCATACTGGCCCCGAGTTTCACAACGCTTCGCTAGTCAAGCGGGCCTGGTAGCTTCGTGGCCGGCTGTTATGGTGCGGAACACTGAACCTAAAGAAACAAGCAGACTCGGGAAAACAGCATCAAGTCATCAAGTATCCGACACATGGGAGTAAGGGAGAAACAAAAGTAGAGAAAGGGACGAATACACCTGGCAACCGAATTAATATGTCAGGCCATTGCCTGCCGAGGGGCCCGGGCACCGGCCGAATTCAATAGCAACTCGTCTCAAACTGGCAACTGACCACCATGTCACGTATGTTGCAAGATGCGGCCAGCTCCCGGCATGATTTCTGAATTTTATGGGGCTTTCTTGCTGACTGACTTTGTTAAAATGCTGACGTCACAAACGGTTCTCAAATTGACAAAAGAAATCTGAGGTGTCTTATCACGTGCGACAATCCTTGGTTCATGTTGACTCACACATCCACTGTTGCTTGTACATAGACCTTACACCGGAGCGACGACAGAAACCTCCGCAACTTCATGCAGATCATCTGACTCTGGCAACTTGTCCTTCAATAACAACTCTCTCTCCATGGTTCCACAACTTTTGGGTGGGCCACAAAGCGACACTCGCTGGTGTCACCACCCTTTTGAAATTCCTGTGCCCTCGTACGACAGAAAAGCAGAGGAAGGGTGTGGCAGGTCCTCGGGACTCGCCGAGGCGAAGCCAGACCTGGCTGCACCCGCAGTCGACACAGGACTTGTCTAATTGACCTGGCCGCACCTGTTCGCCATGTCTGCGCCGGAGCCAGCAAGACTCTGCCTACCAGCCAGTTTCATCTCTCCGTTGCCAAGCACATTATTAACCTTCCTACCTGACTTCATGGATCAGCATCGCCAGGACTCGACATGAGGAAAGACGATTCAAGCACCAATACAGCCCAGACTGTCAGAGTCACAGTTGCTCGGTTGGACCAAGAGAAACAGAGAAGCCTATGCTTCTGTTAAACGTAGAAGTAGACGTTGAATGTTGGGCCCATGCTCCCACATGTTCTCGGCGGCCAACGTGGAACTGTGAAAGCCAACCTGTCCGGTTTCCACTCGTGCTTCATGAGGTTGTCGGAGTTTCCTGCGTTCGCTTGCGACATCAGGGCAATCGGAAGGTCCACTCAGCCGTGAGGAACCTTTCTGATGCACGAAGGAAAGGTCGAGGCGGGGAACCTGCGAGCGAAATCTCGCAGCTGGAGCTGTTACAGTCGGATATGCTCGTGGGGACACCTGCGGAGGCTTCGCAGCCTGACATGCTCACGTCGAGACATCGCATCGAGTAGCTTCCATGTGGCCTTCTGCTTCATTAAAGCGGAACTCAGTGGAGTGGACGTTAAGTGACCATTCTCCGGCTCGCGCTCGGGTGACTGGACATCCTCAGCGCGTCAGGTTTGAAGATGTCGCCGAGCTTTTGCAGCCAAGGAGGTCGCAGAGGGGTGACAATGTTCTTGTTGTGGCTCTGGCAGCTCAGGCACATCTGTCTCCCCCCGGGGAGGTGGTGAAAACCTCTTCCGAGGTTGCAGTTGCACATCAAAGAGCAGCTCCAACCATTCAGAAGACCGCGGCAACGGCACCTTGGCAAAGCTGCGCCTTGCTCGCAGGGCTCTGCCTTGCATGGCCTCACACAACCAACCGCCTGGTATGGTTGAACTTGTGCCCTCTACCCTCTGAGAACATCTGAGATCTCCGCGCAGCTGCAGAGAATGGCTTGTTTGCATTCCTCGCCACAAGGGCTGATATCATAACGTTGAGCATGCACCACCGCGGAAGCAAGCTGTGAGATGCTGTGGGCTGCACCAGCAGCGCCGGAGCATGGCCATGTGTGCCGGGCGCACCTTCGTCATAGACTTCAGAGTTTGAGCGGCGAGCCACTGGTGTGCTACTGACAGCTACTAGGTGACCGGCTGCATCCCCCAGAGCCGGCATCGCTCGACTGGATAAAACCAAAAGCTCTCAGAAAGACTCGCTCTGCAGAAAGACTCCGCACCTTGCTATCAGCACGTCGAAAGCTTCTCCATCCATCCCTCGGCTAACTCCACATCACATCACACTTTTGCACGAAATTTGGCTTCAAACCTTACCTCGCCGATGGACTTCTTCGATCAGGGCAGAAATCGCCTGGAAAGTGTTTTGACAAGACGAATTGACGAAGATGCAGCATTCTGCTGAGTGACCCCTTCGTGGATGCAGCATCGTGGGAAGGGACCATGCAAACAAGGTCAAGCCGGGAACCCCAAAACCAAACCGTTCTTTAGGCATGAGGGCGAGCAATGATCCAGGGCAGGACTTTCTGACTTTTCTCGCCGTCCACTCGGCACCCAGAGCTCCCCACCCAGCCGTGCCGCAAATGGCGTCCTTATTCTAGCTGCAGCTTTGTGCCTGATTGCTGCACAGACTTCTACTTCACACAATTTCACGCACATCTGCCGCGTCCTCCCGCGAACGCGGCACCCACGAACGCTCGGCACCCAGAGCTCCCCACCCGTCCCCGTCCACGGTCGCGTCCTCCCGGGAGAAAGCTCGGCACCCACAGCCTTCCACCTGTCCCACCCTTCCCGCTGTTTTTTTGGGAACGGTCCCCGTCCACAATCACCCGGAGCTCCCGTCCACGGCCGCGTCCTGAGCCTCCCACCCGTCTCACCCGTTCCCGTCCACGGCCGTTCCCTTCCGCGAACGGTCCGTGTCCTCTCGCGAGCTCCCCACCCGGCCCCATCCACGGCAGACACGGCCGCGTCCTCCCCGCGAACGCTGGCACCCAGAGCCCCCCCCGTCCACGGCCACCTTTTTCCGCAAACGCTGGGCACCCAGACCTCCACAGCTCACCAGCCCGTCGACACGATGTGGACGCGTCCTCTTCGCTAAATGGCTTTTCCGGTCCGCGGCAACGCTTTTTTGTGAACGCTCCCCTGCGGGAAGGAAAAACTAAACAAGAACGCAACCCCCGCAGGGGTTTTGGGAAAAAGAATAGACTTCCTGAAACTTACTTACGACACATGTCCGCTCAACTGACTACAGGGCCTTGCCAACTGCCTACCAGCAGGAGCTTTAACAGAAGGTAAACTAGAACGCGAGGTCGATCACAGATCTTCTATGCAGGCACAACCACGGAGCTGCCGGTGCCCCACGAGGCGGGTACTTTGTGACACATCTGCCAAGCCGGAACATGGCGGACTTCGCTCGTTGCTGTGCTTGCCAGCGCTTTCAAGTTGGGCGGGGGAGGTCAAGATCATTCAAGGTCGTATGGATGCTGTGACTACTTGCAAGGCCTCTCTGGGCAGCATGGATCCCAAACCACGCAGCCATTTTTCGACCTGTGCAAGGCGAAGGTCGAAGCAGATTGCAATGACATGCCGACATACAAGGTATCCAGGTATTCGCCTGATCAGGCGCCATGATTTTGCTTCTCCGGAGTTGTTGTGAATGACATGTGTGCTTGTTTCAACTGTCACAAGCCTGCGTGGCACTCAGCAAGCTTTAGACAAGCTGTATTGTTTGCAGCTTGATGACCGACGGCGGTTGCATAGCCAGTTCTACTGCCTGCAAACGCATCCAAAACAGATGGCACATGCTCGGCTTACCACAGACTTGTCAAAGGATTCGGCATTCTTTTCTGTCAGGGAAGCTTCGCCGCTAATCTCGACAAACGAAACGCAAGTGACAGGCACTTTGGCCCCGTAGACGCTGTAAAAGCACGCCATACAGCACGGTCGCATCGCACGCTTAAACTTTGCGAACTTGCGAATTTGGCTGCATGCACACACCCAAGGTCGCAACTTGCTACAGCCGGTCCGACGCAGATCAACATTGGTTGCCTCACTTTGCTTTGCTTGCATCGTCTTTGCCTTCTTTGCCTCGATGTGTCTCTTTCCAAGCACGCATGCATCTAGCGTTCAGTGATGTCATGAGTCGAAGCAACGGCTTCCAGACTCGAAGCTGCAAGTATTTTGTTGTTGGGGTATACTCCAGTCTCAAGGCTCGAACCCCGAACTGCACTTCGTTGTTTAGCTGTTTAGCTCCGCGGCGTGAACTTGCCAACATGTCTTGGTGCTAGTTTCACAAAACACGCATGGCGCCTAAAACTCTTCTCAACCTCCGACTGACAGAATAAAGCCTTGGATAGATGCGGCACCATGACTTACCTTCCCTCAACGTTGCACTTAGAGCATCAAGCCTTCAACATTGCTTGAAACAGGACCTCGGCTCGCTGCCGGCACTCCTCGCAACTCCTCGGCGATCCCTGTTTTTTTGCCTATCTCGATGGCGTATGCAATGAAACAAGCCTAGATCGCTCACGCTCAGACTGTGCTGAATTTTTGAGGGAAGAAGCCTGCGCAACTCTCGGATTCCACAATCGAAAGCCCTCAAGACAAAACAGCCTAATCAGGAATCGCCACGGTAAGAAAAGGGTCTTGGGCCGCAGCCGGCGCTGATAGCTTCGAAAATCTGATCAACGACGAACTGCAACATGTCCTCAAGGAGTTCTCAACTTTGATAACAGAATTCCGACAGCAGCTGCACTCCCGACACGACATCCTCTCCGAACCCTTTGAACAGACAGGCAGATGAAGCATGCCTCGTTCTCCCAATAGCTGAAGTGGCTGTGGATGGCGCTCAGCATCTCGTTCATGCTCTCAAATGCGCTGGTCTCGGTGGACGCCCATTGGTGCTTTTACCCCATCGGCTGCGAGACCCTGCCAACAATTCCAATAGACAAGTTAAGCTGGGGCCTGCAAAGCATAGTCGAGGCGATCAACGGTGACAATCGACTGCCGAACGGGCTTGTCCTTCTCGAACAAAGCGAACTTAACTTGCTGTGAGTTTGCGCCACGCAACATGCACCTCAAAGAAGCTCGAAGGATCCTGCCAGCGGCAAGATGTGCTTGTGCTGCGGCCGACTGCACTGCCGACTGCTACCTCCCTGCAGTCCCTGCATGACAGCTTTGTCTGTGAACTTAGGTAACAGGAAGCCAGTCGCATGCTCCTCCGTTGGCACGACCAGCACCTCGTCCAGGGGAGCCTGAAATCTCTGCAAGCTTACAGGGCAACCAGCAGACAAGACGGTTTTTCAGGCGTGGGATCCGGGATGATCCAGGACGAGAGCAGCCTCGGCATCCACCTCATCACCGCTCTTTGGCCTGACGTTTGCTGCACAGCACCAGGCCAAGCACTGGAAAAACATGGAAGTGCCACGTCGCCACAGAAGACCACAAAGTCGCAATTCGATGATTCCACCGCAGACCGCCGCAATGTGGGACCACCCTTCAACAGTTCAAGCTCGGGTCCAGATTTTGCGGAAGCGCTCATTCTGCAGCGGTTCATCTTTTCCCATCAAAACTACTCTAGGATTGAGGTAGGCCGTAATGCGCATAATTGCAAATTGCTGCACGATGCCGTTGGCTTCTTAAAGAGGGCTGCTGCGTTACCATGACGTCAACGAAAAATCGGTGATTCTGCCATCAACAGCTTACTCAATCACGTAGAACCTTTAATTTTAACTCCCCTTCATTTCTTCTTCACGAGTTTATCTGCACAGTTGCCAGCATTAAACTGGTAACACCTCTTCATGTACACAATGCAAAGTTTCCAACTACATCAACATGGAACAGACATGCCGAAATCAGCCATCACCGTCTCTGAGCCTGCCTTGGGCTCATGTTGGTATAAGCAGGATTCAGCAGCGGCTCAATACGGTACCTGCACGTTGGTGGCAAAGGTTGGCCTAATTGATGAAGCATGCAGCATGCATGTCCCAAGGACTGCAACAGCACAACTGAAACTTCCAGCAGAAGTGCGCAATCGGATCATCAGGATGAAAAATGTTGAAGAACCTGGATCAGGGTCTGTGCGGGCCACAGGCCACGCATTTTCGCACACACACACACACACACACCCTTTTTGGTGTGCACGAATGACTGCGATGAGAGACCGACAGGACAAGACGACGACAGATTGCAACAACAATGCAGAATCGCTTCCAATGATTGACCAATGGAGGCAACAAATTTCAGGGTGCTTTCGGCTGGCCATGCTTGCAGGTACAAGTTGTTAATCAGACCACTCATCCCTTTTCTTGGAATAACCAACGCGCCTGTGCCCCCTGCACTACAATTTGTTGTTCAGCCGCCAGTTGCTCTGAGCAAGCTTTGTTACTGGCCAACAAACGGTGCCAAGACTCTCCTAGGAAGGCTTCGGAAGTTGGCTCTGTGATCCCGTGCAAGCTGGACACACACAGGCCCGAACGGGCTCACTGTGAGTCGGAACAATATCTCTGTGCAGACCTGTCTCTAAAGCTGAAATTCACAACCACTCGTCGACTTGTCCACCAGACACCTACTACAGTAACCGATGCAGCAACCTGATTCCCTGTGAGCCTGTAAGAGAGATCACACAGCGCAGCTCTACTTTCACAGGGGGAACCCGTTGAAACAGGGTGGGACACACACACACACACACACATGCGCAGACGGGCTCACCAAGAGTTAGACAAATAGTTCAGTACAAGCCTATCCCTAAGAGTGAAGCTCCCAAACATTCATCCACATCGCAACCGGACGGTAAATTGACAATGCAGCACACTGACCACTTTTGACAAAAAGTTCGCTTCAGTGACATGTCCTTCTATACCAAAAGCTTGACTGGGATCTCATGGATCACTCGCTCCTCGACTTCCACTTCATCTCCTTCTGAAGCACCACGGTAGCAGTAGGAAGCGTCGCAAACAATGGACAAACGAGGCACAAGTTCCAGCTGCACGGCATTCCACGCAGGTGCTGCCTAATCCGACTCATCCACGCCGAAGGTGCTGCTCCGAACTGCGCACAAAGATACAAGTACAAGCATGGTGCGCAAGTCCTGGTAGACGAAGTACCTTCCAGGCGGTCGTTCCCTGACTGCTTGTGATCTGCATCCCACCAAGCTATGACGACAGCCATTCGTCAAGCCTGCGGGGTCCACGAGACAGGGTCTGGAACCCGGATCCGGGAAGTAAGAGGTGGCGGCCTCGCTTTGGGGAATGTCTCTGTACCGACCTTGTTGAGTCTACCGTTGACTTGTCGGTAGATCGTCTCGGAGGAAGCCAGCTGAGATGGAGCCATGATGTCAAGGGTTCCTACCTACCATACAATCTTGCACACGAAAAGCTCCTGGAAAGAGGTGAAAGCAGTCAGAGAAAACCATGGTCAGCGCATGTCACGGGCTGTCGCTCACAATCTAGATTCATTGGGGAAGAGAATTAAATACTTTTCATGTCGAACCGTCGCAAACGCATAACCGAATGAAATTTGCCTCTCAGAGTTAGTCAGCTTGCTACATGAAGCCGCTGAGTATCCACAGCTGCGCAGCCAGAGAAAGAACTGGGAAATCATAGGACGAACGAACTTCTTGGGCCAAGTGTATTTCGATGCGTGACCGAACACCCGAGATAAGCAGCAATCTGTCGCTACCTGCACTCGTGGGGTGTCTGATCTGCCAAGAATGTTGGAGGGAGTCTGCAAAGCACAGTCCGATTGACTGGATCAACATCAAAGCCTAGGAATTGGCCATTTCCCAAAGGTTCGAGCACAATGGGAGCTCCGTAAAAGATCTCATCAGCAAATGCTTGGAACGGAAGTGAACACATCACTGAGTTTCCAAACTCGTCCACTTGCCGCCGAGGCTGAGGTTGACAATGGCGTATTTTCATGTGGCTGGATGACTTTTCGAATTTCCAGCCCTGTATTTCCTGAGTGTTGAACACTCGTCCTTGAACAGACCGGAAATGTTTGACAGAAAGCTCAACTTCTGAATCTCTCGCACAGAACATACGAATCAGGATCTCAATGGCCTAAACTACCCTTGCCTGCGGGACAGAGTTGAAGAATCCCACAGGGTCGTCATGAAGCAACTCAAGCTGGCTATCATCACTGCACTGAGCAAGAAGCTGATGAAGAGACTGCCATATTAGACTGTCTCCACCATTTGCTCGATACAGATAGCTGTTGCTGGCAGGATGGGACCCCGTGCTATATATTTGTAGCTGATCATCGTTCGGCAAGACCGAAAGGCTTTCTTTCTTCTACGGAACACCTGACCGGCAGGGAGCTGGGCATCACGATGGAAGCCCCGTAGCAAGACCCTCGGAATACTTTCACAAATAAGGAGCTTGGCTGTAAGGAGCTTGGCTGCAGAGTCACAAATGTCAAGCGACCGGAACACTTTCAAATCTGGCCATACCTTCGAGCAAGACTGAAAGTCGAATCTTGGGCAGACCAGCATTGGCTGCGTTGATTCATGATCGGAAAGATGAATCACCCATTGTTCACAGAAATAATCTTTCAGTTTAAGACCATGTGCCAACAGGAATCTCGGAGACTGCTGAACATGAAGCTGCTCCCCAGTGGGACCAGGAGTCGCTCCCTCAGTTCCTGCCATTTCTCCTGTTTTTCACACAGAAGTAGATCCCGAACACCGGGCGGTACCTCCCAAAGGGACGAGCGCGCCGTCTAACGACACCTCCAAGGATCCTGGAGATCCTATCCAAAGGTTTCGCGGGAAATCCTGCAGCCGCAGCCCCAAGTTATGAAACAGCCTTTGGTATGCGTACCTTCGCAGCTTGGCCAACGGCCGAATCCAATTTGTCTATGCGCGCTCTGGATCGGGAACAAACCTTCTCCCCCGCCGTCCGCGGTCGTGCCCTTCTACCACAAGCAGCACGCAAGAAGACGGTCAGCACCATCAACCAGGTGCTCCGCTAGCATGAAACGCTATTTTAGCATTCGCACATTTGAGCCAAAAAATATTGCCGGCATAAAACAACTGCACATGAGACCCATAACCAAACTATACCCCAAATCCAGTCTCACCCACACACACACACATACATATAAATATAGTTATATAGACAGGGGAACACGAACAGACCGCCCTTTCACGGCCTCCATCCTTGCCCAGCGCTGGATGGGGGCCATCTCACGTCCAAGCCTCGGAAGTACCTGGAGCGTTGACGACATGCTGCAACCTCACCACCATTTCCATCAGACTGATGGCCTTGATGCTCGCTGCGCTTTTTGCGAAAGCCGTATGCTCAAGAACCTGCGATAGTGGTGGAGAACGAGCGAGATTCACTATCAACAGGCCGAAGAAGCAAACTTTTGCAATAAGGAAGCATGAACGAACCAGCGAAACTTGCACTTGAAGGCAGAGGCGAGGCTCGGTGAATCATAACACAGAGCAGATGATCACATTCACGGCGTTAGCTAGGTCTGAGGACTCTTTGACAGGATGGTGTAGAGTCTGCAAATGCTCACTCTCACTCACACACCTCCTCAATCAGGAGCATCTGCGTTGTGGGACGATGCTCATGGAAAGCATGGGAACGAAACGAGGAGTAGAACACTGCGGCAATCCGTCAGCCCTGCACCATGTCGACTCGTGCCATCTCGTCTTTCCATCAGCCACAGATTCGATGCGACGTATCTGGTGCGCAGTTGTTTTGCTTTCTTTCTGCAGGCATTAAACATCGTTCCGCGGTCTGTTGGTGTAAGCACACTCCTCGCCGGTTCATCAAAGAAAGACTGCTCTGGCCGCAGAGTGCCGACAAACCCTTTCGCGCTTCCTGTCGCCTAGCCTGGGGCACTGCCCCCGCCCTGCAGGCGAATGCATGCCCGAAACTCCAAGACGCCTCGAAACACGATCATCACAATCGGATCTGCTGTTTCACCGACCAGCGAGCTCGATGACTAGGTATAATGGTGCGAGGTGCAACACGTGCCCAGATGTTCGGAGTGCCTCGCAGTGGCAGTGGACAGAGCTTTCGTGTCTTTGTTTCTACAAACCTGACCAAGTTTGCGGAGGGGAGACTCCGTGTCCGAGCGATGGGCAACGGAGCCTCAAAGCACTATCGAGCATCCAGAGTCGGCACGTGGAGTGAAACACCGACGAGCGCGATATCAATTAACATCTGCAGCTCTGACAAAGAAGAAAGTTCTGTCTATCAGATTCTGAGTGCAAGGCATTCCGAGAGGGGATCCCACGGCAAACAGGCATCTGGGTACAGGGTGCTCATGCGAGTCCTTGCCGTCCTTGCCTCCAGCACTGGCGCAGGGTCTTATTCCGTTGACCTCACTTCCTACTCAATCCGGGGATGCGGCTTTTGGCCAGAGCCGCCACATTGCCACGAGCCACGTGCTCCTGCCAAAGATGGTCTTTGCCTTGAACATTGTCCTGATGTAAACGAGCACGGCAATCTTTGTTCATCGCCTTCAGAAGCTTGATGCCCTTCCTGTCAAAGCTCCCCGGCGTGCCGACGGTAGCTTTGGCCGGCGTGCAAAGCATTGCTGTCTTGGAAGAACCTTGCGGCATGTCCTCAAACGAAATCACAAGAACGTGTCATGGCTCTGCAAAGGCATCAACTATCGACTCAACCAAATGACTGCATGGCCTTGGAAGGCGAGCAGTGCAAGCCGCAAGGTAGTTTTTCAAGCCCCTGCGAGGGACTCAGTCAGTCACATTGTTGGTGTCAGCCGGATCCTCATGCATATACCACTGCAGGCATGGTACGGGACCATCGTTCTTACTACTATGATGCTTGTTGACTGTATCCTGGCTCTAAATGCTAGGCGGCTACCACTACTACTACTACTAC